AAAAAAAAAAAAAAACAAAACAAACCGCAGTGATTTATGGTGCAAATGGCAACAATAGCAAACAATTAGCTCACATTCAACGCACGAGACTATCAACAACCAATCAGAAAAACAAACGGGAAAGAACAGCCCGTAGTAAATACCAACAGGGCGAGGGAGTAATCAACGCACGAGACAAGCAACGAGTCGTTTTTCAAGTGAGAAAAAAGACGGATGGAGATCGGGAGTATACCAGTAATGACAATAGAGTAGAAAGTCGCGGGAGCTGCGATACCACGATTGGGATGAAGACGGCGGCGGAACTGATCTGCGGGAGAAGGAGATGAAGACGGTGTGGGTTTAGGGTTCCTCTTTCTTTTATTTTATTTATTTTCTATTTTATTTATTTATATAGTGGGCTGAGTTTGATTGGGCTTTATGATTGGACACAATTTTCACATAGTGGGCTGGGTTGTATTGGGCTTTACGATTGGACACAATTTTCACATAGTGGGCTGGGTTGTATTGGGCTTTACGATTGGACACAATTTTCACATAGTGGGCTGGGTTGTATTGGGCTTTATGATTGGACACAATTTCACATAGTGGGCTGGGTTTGATTGGGCTTTATGATTGGACACAATTTTCACATAGTGGGCTGGGTTGTATTGGGCTTTACGATTGGACACAATTTTCACATAGTGGGCTGGATTGTATTGGGCTTTACGATTGGACACAATTTTCACATAGTGGGCTGGGTTGTATTGGGCTTTATGATTGGACACAATTTTCCATATAGTGGGCTGGGTTTTATTGGGCTGATGATTGGTCGCAATTTATATTGGGCATCCTCTTGTACCCTGGTTTCGTGGTGGGACCCACATTGTGACCCGAGATGCTATATAAATATCGCCGTCCTTTGTACGCTATGACACAATTAAACTCCGTCGTTTATTATTTATTTATTTGTTTGTTTGTTTTTGTATTTAAATAAATAAAAGGAGCAAAAAAGAATTAAAAAATAAACAAAAGGAGAGAGAAGAAGAAGAGAGAGAAAGAGCTTCGTCCGGTCCTGACGAACCATCTTGCCAAAATCAGAATTCTTACTCTCTTGTCTTCCTTTCTCAAACCCTAAAACGGACAAATTTCAATTCCAGTTTGCTCCCGGAGGCCGGCTACCTGCCACCGTGTTCCACCACCACCGTCGCCGCCGCCGCCACACACTTCTACTCAAACCACTCGATTGTTTCCTCGACCCCGAAATTCATCGTCGGCTGCGTTTGCCCCCTAAAATTTGGAGATTTTGTTGGGTTTCTGTTGACTTTGGAGGTGATGGTCCTAAAGCTAATTCACCCGCCGTCATCGTCCTTCTGAGTTCATTCCAGGTGATGCATAGTTCTTTAACTTTGTTGATTTTTGTTAGCTTACTCTAAATTTTGCTTCTTAATTATGCTGGGATTATCTGGGTTTTTATTTTATTTTATTTACTTAGTATTGTTGTTTTCAATAATATGTTCATCCATTGAGGTTGAAAGACGGATTTTTAAGCATTTTGAAGCCGTGTAGCGTGAAGTGCATGGATCTTATTTTTCTAATTTTTGTTGCTGTATGATTCGGAGCATTTCTTGTGACTTAAAATTGAATTTCATGTTATGTCTTGAATTTGAGAGATGGGTTCGATTGATTTTTTTGTTGTTGCTGGAGTATTGATAAGCTGCATGTAAAATCCTATCCAGTTATCATTTCTATGAAGCTGCTGAAGTAGATTATAATTTTTCGCAGGAATTTTTTGCAAGTTGTTTCCCCTCATCATGTATCATGCTAAGAAATTTTCAACTGCGAGCTTAGTTCCACATAAATCTCAAGGTGCCGAACAAAGTGCAAGTGTTGCGGTTCTTGGTGGATCTACAGCCAAAAGTCCAATGCCACCTGGGGGAGGTGGAAAACAACGGCTGCGATGGACATCTGATCTTCACGACCGTTTTGTGGATGCCATCACACAACTTGGTGGACCAGATAGTGGGTATTTTCTTTTTAGTAATGTTTTTGTGCATTTTCTTTCATCTTAATTTTCAGGATTAGAAAAGGGGAAAATATTGAATGAAGCCATGCAACAATTTCTTCTCCGTACTAGCTTGATTAAATGTGGTTCTATGCACATTTGTAGGCTAGATGTTTCTATTTGATGAGTTCAAGGGGGTTTGAAATGAAGTAGTGTAGTAGAAGAGTTTACAAGGCACAACTCGGAAGTTGATATACGTATAGTCTTGAGTATTAAATGTGGTTCTATGGTCCTATGTTGAGGGGCTTGAGGTGTGCGCAAATTGGGTCCGGAGACTTGCCAGATGCCTTTATTTTTATGTTGCAAAGCCAAAAGAAACCATGAATTAGGGGAAAAAAGGAGTGCATGCTTACATTCTTGTGTTACCAAGATCCCTAGGGGATTGAAAAGCATTCTTCTAGGTCATTTATTATTGTAAATGCTATCAGTATTACTTTGGTAAGAAACAACTCCCCCTATATGTAATAATGCTTCACTAGTACCGAGCTTATGAAAAGCTATCGTATGGTATCAACAAGGAAGGAAACTAGCTACAAAATATAGGTTTCTGTAAGAGGAGAGTAATCTTGGCGTTGATGAAGCATTGTTTGAATTGGAATATGTTTATGAGATAACTTTTAACTTTTACTTTTCTGGCCTTGTACACATCATGAATGTTATCTTTTTTTATGTCATCTCAATCCTTCTGGCAATATTGCAAAGCCATCCTTACATCTTGTTAGGAGAAAACTAGCTTTGAAGTAGGATATAGAGTAAATGTATCCATGTCGAAAAGTGAACTTTATCGACCACCACAACCAGTTCGCAGAAAAGTAATGATATTTGAATGATAAAATATAACTTATATTCTTAAATGTATAAAAGAAGATTTTTAGCTTTTCTTTTCTTACAATATAACTGAACAAAAAGGAAGAAATTCGTTGAGAAAATGAAATCAGGAAGAAAAGCTCCAGTCCAAAAGAAATTACTGAACTGAGAGTAGTTATACTGCAATAAAAAAGAAGTCCTAAGCTTGCACCTAGTGGAAACCACAAAAAGTATTCCATCCAACAAAAATGAACTTTTTTTTTCTTTTTTGATTTTTCTTTTCTGTTACTTTCACTCTGAAAAGTCCCTTAGAGTGTGCTTCTAGTATTCGACGAAAGAGACCTTTCTTTGTCTTTAAGGGCTGTTCATCAAAGAAGAAATAAAGAAGGCTTGATGTATCCTTATAAATTGGGGTCATCCATCCAAAAGAATTGGTTAGGTTGAGCCCAAAATGGGACAAAAGGGTGATTATAAAAGGAGAGAACCAGAGAGGAGAGAAAGGAAGGGTGGAATGTAAGCTGTTTGCATAAAAGTAATATAGTACTTTCACGTTAAATTATCAACCTATCTATACTTCATGGTATATCTAGGAGTCGAGTCTACCAATGGTGATTTTTTTTTTTTTGGGGGGGGGGGGGAAATACCC